TAACCAAAGTTAATTTGGAAACAAATGTTGAGTGCTGTAATCAGGGATAAGATACTCTATGATGTGTGGTGGAAAAGGAGTTCAAATGGAAATGCTGCAAAAGACTAAGAAAATGTAAATATTTGGGGGGAAAAAAGAGAAACAGTTTGCACTACATAAACCTAATTAAGATTTAATGGACATGGGGATATTTCTAAACATACAGAACAGTATGATTTCTTTAACAGATTGAATCAGATGGTTTTGAAGGCACAAAATGAAAAGATTTCATGGGTAATCTGCATTGCAGCAGGCAGGAAGGAGGAGAGTTGTTTAGGGAACGAGAATGGCTATAGGTTTTATTTTGAAATCATATTAATCCGAAGCTATGAGATCTTAAAAAATGAGATTTTTTTGTTATAACACTGCTCCACTGGATGTGTCAGATCTTAACTGATATACATAAACCTATCTGAAAGTCATCAGTACGGCTTTACTAAGTTTTGGTAGGCCAGGATTTGTCACATGTATGCTGACCTTATAGAAGTGTATTTTTAAATATTAAATAAATGCATAACTAGCATGAAGGCCAAGCAGGCACAACTTGAAAAACTGTGTTTTGGGAAGTAATAATAAAAAAAAACTATAATAAAAACTGTAATCCTGAGCTTTAAAATCATGATGATTTTTCCTCCTTGCTTTTGCTTATTCTTAAGTCTTTGGGCCGAGGTTCCTTCTGCATTTGCAGAAGCTAGCAAAAATGCCTGTTGTCCTGAATTCAGTCAGGGCCCACACTTTTGGCTAGCTGAGAGCAGAAGATGATACAGCTCTTCACTTAGCACAACTGCCCTCTTCAGTTTAAGTACCTGAAGTTGCTTTAAGGAATCCTAAAAGAAGCTGCCTAGCATGAGTGTCCCCCAAATACTCATTTCTGTATACAGAAGAAGTGCATGCAGCTCTTGCACAAAGCTTTGGAGTCTACATTGTGAATGGTTTTAGTAGCAGTGGAGATCAGCTAGTGTGAAATCCACCCCAAAAATGCTGATTCCTGAGTCTTCGATCTTTCAGAACAGGGGTGCTTAGTAAAGCAGGATATAATCCCCCGTAACCGAAATAAGACTAAAGGGCTATCATAGGAACTTATAGCAATATAAATGATCCTCACTCCTCACCGAAGTAAGTATCAGAGTTGTTATTATATGCATTACAAATTTAAAAGTAAATGATAGGACACAAAATAGTGACAGAAAAAGAGCTGCAATTTATTGATGAACTTCACCAATTGGTGAAATTTCATTTGTTCTGCTGATAACACTTAGCTCTCAACTTCCTTTCAAGCATCACGTCTGCCTTAGAAATCCCTTGAGGTAATTTATATCCTGGGTAAATTACAAACTATTCCCTGGTGCCCATTTCTGACTTGCTTTTTTTTTTTTTTTTTTTTTTTGTCCCATTCTCTGAAATTATATAAAACTAATCCGTAGCTTTTGCTGTGAGTTATTAACGTGTTACTTCATGTACTGTCTCACCTCATTATCTCCTTGTCTTGTCTGAAAAGCAGCTAAGTAATTGAAAATTGTCTGAAAGTACAGCTAAGAAATTGTCAGAGTCCTTTGTGAGCTGTCACGAGGTTCTCCATTAGCTTGGGAAGTCAGTGTGCTGGTCATATGAAACAGGGCTGTAGTTTGCTTCCAACTATTGCAACGTTAAACTTGAGAGCAGAGTTATGTCAATTCCTGTATAAAGCTTCCTCATTATTCTGAGTCCCTATCTAATTTTTGTATGCTAATTTTGCAGTCTGACCTTTACATGAGTAGACAGGTGGGAAAATGCATGTACCCTGTCAGCTGCTTAATGGTTTCCTAATCTGAATAGACTGTTCTGTATCAAGTGCACCATCTGGAAATACCCTTCTGCATTGAACTGCTCTGCATTTAAACAAATATTGGTGAGACTGTCTGACAAGTGAAGCACTATATTAAAACTATACCTTTTTTGTCTGAAGGAAGTCTTAATTCCTGTATCATTTTTAGCCAAAAAAAGTGGATTTTCCAAGTTTCTTTCGTAAACTGACGCTAGCTGCTATGCAAATGACGAATCCCTGCTTTAATTAAGCCCTGAATCACAGTTGCAAGGGTTGTATTACAGCTCTGTACGCACACAACTTGATTATACACTAAGGAGCAATCCAGTTAGCCTTTCTGAGCCAGTAGGTTCATTTGGAGCAATTGTTTTTGAGGGACTTTCCTTCTAAGTGTAACTGCTTCTGCAGCATGGCCTCTGCAATGCCTTCCAGTACTACAGTTTCACTGTGAAGTGCGCAGAGAAGTACTCCTTCTTCTGGAGTGGGGTTCTAAAATGTTACGTGATCATTTTATTAGGTAATCATTAATTCCTGGGTTACAGTACGGAATAAATTCATTAGGCACTGCAAGTGTGATGTTTAAGACTATAATGTCCCATTGTACCAATCTCTTCAGCTAATGAGTCATGGCCTCTTTAGTCTCTCTGCTTGTAATTGTTTCCTGCAGCTGAAGACCCTCACCACATTTCTTGATTGCTTTTCTGGTTCTAGAGTACCCTCTTTTTTTCAGTGCAGTGACCAGAAGTACAAATGGTGTCAAAGATGGGAATGGTAGGATAGTGATGTTTTTGAGTTTTTGTCTGCTTTCATTATAATTCCTAGCATTCCATTTGCCTTTGTAAATACTGCTGGGGTTTAGAATGACATTTTTAGAGAACCATGTACAATGAGTCTAAGCTGTTTTTCTGGAGATAATTTAGACCATGATTATGTGTATGCGAAATTAGAATTGTTTTCCTCTGTGCATATTACTTTGCTTGCATCAGCATTTAATTTCATCTTCCATTTTATTATCCAGTTGTTCAGAATCATGCGAGCCTCCTGTTCATTTTCAGTATTAAATTTGTATGCCAAATAATTTCATTGCATTAGCAAACACTGCAACAAAGTTTTACTTGTTTTTTAGACCTTGGCTTTTATCTTTAGTGCAGACCAAAGGTTGATCTAATCCTCAATGGAAGTGAGATATGATACAGGGGAATGTGCAAGTGAATGAAATGTAGACAAAATGGTTAGGAGTTGGTTTTGGGTTTTTTGTTTTAAATTTTTGATTGAAACAAATCTTTCTGCCTTCTCTTTGCTGTGATGAAACAAATGGCTTTCAAATCATAGTTTAAAGGGCATTTTTAATTAGGTATTTTTTTTGGGAGTCTGATTATGGAGATGTCATTCCAGCTGTCTGCAAAATTTATGTCTGAGTTGTGGAAATGTAAGCCATGCTTTAAATAAAAGAAGAGCAATAAAATAAGACTTACTGAAGTTGGCTGCAAAGAATACTTGTTTACAGTTCTGGCCCTTTGTATTTCCAAAGGCCAAAGCTCTGGAGAATGAGGAAATACTTCTAAAATTCCACATGTCTCTGTATTTTGGAGTATTATTACCAAAACATATTTGAATGTGAGCACGTGGATTGCTTTGGGCAGCTAAAAGACAGCTTTTGTGGATATACGTATATAAATTTGTAATAGGTGCACTTAACTGTTTAGTGTAATGTGTAAGATCTTGTGGACCTCCTTGCCCAGACAATTCTGGAAATTTTGCAAGGGACCTAATCCTATGAGTCTTCAGCATTTCAAGTAATCTGTGCATTTAGAACTTCAAGTAGACATTCCTACAGAATCGTTCCAAATTTCATGAGCTTGGTGCTGAAAGTTCCTCTTGATTTTAGTAAACCATGGTTCAAATTTATGACTGGAAATAAGGAACTTACTAGCAAAAATGCATTTTGAAGTGCTGAACGATGCTAATGTACACAAATTAGAGTTCACTGTATTGTTTTCATGTTTCGGAATCTCGTAAGTTTACCAGATAGTGTAGGGGGAAAAAAGCCTTCCCCAAAAGCCTATTGAATGTGATGGAAAATACTTCGTATGCTTCCAAAGGTGTGTATCAGACACTGAATCATAGTCGGAGTGATTATTGGAGGAAGAGCAAAGATGGACTGACAGGGCAAAATGGCCTTGTGGTTTCGCATTAGTCGCTAATGGCTTGGCATCTAGAACATACTCAGCTATGCTAAAAGTGAAAAACAGATTACATAATAATGTTCTGCAACGTTTCTGTCAGTCTGTGTGCTCCAGAAAACAGCATTATGAAAGGATGATATTTCACTGTGCTAAGTAGAATGTCAAAGTCAAACGTGAAGAACCTTTATAAGACTCTTTGTACTCTAAAAGTTCTCCTCAATTCTGCTGTGCCATTTACACTTTATGGGCCTCGCATCGTGGTCCTGATACATCAGAACTCTTTGGAGGAATTAAATGTCTTCAAGTGCTTTGCTAGACTCAAATTACGGCACTTCATAACATGTAATTTTAATTCTGGAGTAGCCAGTAGAACCTCTTCATTAAAGTGTACAGACCCAGTATTTGTGATGGCATAGGAATAGGAAAACTAAACACATAGTTTGTGTAAACCAAGATACATTTGTATTGTGTAAAAGTAAGCTTCAGCCTCTGGACTGGTTTATTACAGGTGAATAATTTGAAATACAAAAGGAACATGTGCTCATTTCGTGTCTGTAAGCAGATGAACAGGAAGAAAGATTTCCATGAAGTATAGAAGTACAAGAAGATGTGACCTAAAAAGATTGTATGATGGTAACAGTCTGAAACTGAACTTTTCCTGTGTCTCAGTAAGCTAAGATGTTCCATATGTAGCATTTATGTTCTATTTTATGAGTAGAGATGCAGCATAATCTTTTTGTTTAGCCTGGGTTTTGTATGTGAATTATCGTGTGCTTGTTAAAGGGAAACAGAACAAAGACGTTGCTGTTTATTTTTATTTTATCATTTACCTACCAAGCCAAAATTTTACACCATAACATTACAGGAGAGAAAAACAAAACCAAAGAGGCAGAACATCATTTACCATTTCTCAGATTAATGAAAACAATACGTCTCATCTTCTGTTCTTCTGGATCTTTTGTTTAGAATTGAATCAGATTTGCACTACAACAGAATAAAAATATTTTCTTCTTCAAGACTGGTTTGTTTCCTCTGGTGAAGATAAATTGTCAAGTGCTCCCACCTCTTCGAAGAAGGAAAACAATGAATTAGCAGATGTGTAAGTATGCATAATAATATTGTCAAGTAAATCATAAGATCCAGTTGCAGTAATACACATTTTTTAAAATATTTTCTGTTAACTGTAAGTGGCAAATCTTTGCACTTTTGATAGGTTACTTTCTGAACTTTTTATTTCTTTTAAATGTTAACAGCCTGTTATATATTGTAATGTTACTTAAAAAAAAAAAAAATTACAGTGACAGAGTGACACTACTGATATCAAGCTTCAAAGGTTTTAATATCAAGTGACAGCCACATGCTGTTCTACTTCCAGATTTACATGGGCAAGACTTTAAAACTGGAGGGAGTAATTTTCAAGAAAAATGGCTGAAGCCGCTTTTTGTGATCTCTAAGGCATTTCTTATAGAGATAATACCTGAAACAATCACTTCATCTTGTAGATAGGTAGAAATTTGTATGTAATCTGAGTATCACCATTCCCTGATGCTGAATTCCGTGAGTGGGTTCACACACCACCTTCAAAGGAACATACCTACTTGAATATATTTAATGTGGTAAGGTGACATTTGAGGGAAAAGGTTAAAGCATCTCCACCACAGAGGTGTAGTATCAAAGTATGTTTTTCACCTCCAAAATTCACAGATCTGATTTGGTGTAAAAGTTTGTACTGGGTTTTGGCAATACCTGCTAGGTATTAGGTTAGGGGACAGTGTGACAATATTCTGTCTTTTATAACCTGGGAATACAAGAACTATCTCAAAGAAAAGCCATTTTTATATGTTCTGGAGATACCATTTTCCTGTATTCCAAGGACAGATAACAATACCATCTTTTCTGAATAAAAGAAGGTGTTTGGTATTACTATGCTAAATAGGGAATTGATAGTTACAGTTATTCTATACTTTTTTTTCCTCATTCATCCTAGGGAAGAAATAATTTGTATTTCTATGAGATGCATTTCATTTTCTTGCCCAACAGCTCAGTAGGTCTTAGCCTATTCACTACAGTGGACTCTCACACTCTGCATGTTTTGCGTTCTTTTCTTTTCTATCCAGTTACTGTTTTTGCTTCCCTAGGCTCAGACAGCAAGGTATGTCTAAATGTCTAGGGCTCCTTTTCAGTGCTAAACAAGCTCTTTATTTATCCACAGTGAATATACATGCTAATAATGTTCTTTAAACATATGTATATATTTGAATTCTCTCAGGCCTTTAGCACTAGCTGTAAAGAGTTTTTGTAACAAAGGCAGATTTGATTAAGTAAGCATTGGGTTGTTGATTTTAGTAGTGAAAATTATTTTGCTTTGGTGAATGCAAATCATTTAGAAAATTATGCCAGAGTGTCTAGAATTTTATTTCCTAGGCATACAGAAATTTCATAGGTCTATTGAATGTCTTTTTTTATAATGAAAGTGATATATAACACCTTGTTTTTTACTATTCCACATCATATTCTTACTATTCCACACCATATGCACATGACAAAATTGCTTATAATTTGTTATATTCAAAGAGAAGAGTATAGAAGTTATAGATGGCCTGCTTCCTGAAACAGAGAATTCTGCAATCACTTGCAAAGAAAATATCATTTTCCTCCTCATTATGTTCTTTGCAAATATACGTTAACGTTTAAAATATTTCATAGATGGTTTTAGGATGGCAGAAGACATTTTAAAATATGTAGTTGTCTTTTTTTGTGTGAAAGTTTTGGTTTTTTTTTTTGAGAAATCTATGAAGAAACCAAGAATTGTGATTAAAATGAACGAAATTGGAAGCAGACAAAATTCTACTTTACCTAATGATATAATGAAACTGCTGTTCTGACAAGATCAGCTGTGAGCTCAGTTTTACAAACCTTGCCAGAGCTCTGTGACTTCCCATACTTTTGCCAGCAGCATTTTGAGCTGTTTGCTAATGTGCAGTTTAGTGTTTTTGCAACTTTATGATGTGGCTTTTGTGGAGAATGCAAGGAGAAAGGGAGATGCGTTTCTTCATTGCTAGCAAGTCTATCTGAATTTCAGCCAACTGCTCTTGGAGGTAAACTGAGCCTTTATTTAATTTGTTACTAAATGGTTTTAATAACTCGTGTATTATCAGACCGTATTTACTTTGTTTTCAACTAGCTGTGAGCTGGCTCCGTAACATTTTAACAGTAACTTACTATTTTCACAGTGCTGGTAGTAATCAAGTAGTACTAGAAACCTCTTGTGCTGGGTATCCATTCGCCTGCATTTTGACAGGACTGCTTGTACTCATGAAGTCAGTTGTATTCCTAGATATGTTAAAGGAGAACTGACTTCCTCTCCCTTCCTCCCGCTCTTGCTCCCAGAAATACAGGCAAATCTACTGCAGACTTGTACATGCAAGACTAGTCCTGAATGTCACAGGAGAAAGGCCAACAGAAACAGATCTTCTGTGCTTCTGCTAAAAGTAACTGGATTTAAAAGGCATTCACTTACCTTTGAGATGCAAGTAAGTCAAAAATTCGATTATTGTGCGCACAATGTTTTCGTCAGCCAGTGGTCTTCCAAGATTTCCTAAAAAAATAAATTGGTCATTACTTAATATGGCGTAAATGTATCTATTAATTGCATACAACATTGTGACTAAATTCATAAGGATCCTGGAAAGACAATCTAGGAAAACAAAAAATCCTTAAAATGGAACAGCACTTTTCATGGCAGAGCAAAGCAACTTTCAGGTATGCAGCTGCAGTTCTCAAAATGGAAATTGCACACTTTGTATGCCATTGCTGCAGAGGAACTGCTTTGACAGCTTAATAGTCATGATTCTTGAGGCCAGTGAGCCTCAATTTAGAGGAGAGTTATCCTTTGTTCTTAACTCCCTCTTTTGTGTCTGCTATCTTGAGATGAAATGGAAGGGTCAATGTAGCAAATTCATCAGCTTTACAAAACAGTTAAAAGTTCTGCATGAGGTCTGACTTTGTTCCCAATGAGATGATGTTAAGTGATACAGAAGTGATTTGTAGTCCTAACAGCTGGGTCTGGGGCTTATCTAAAAGCTCAGAAGGATGTGCTTTTGCATATGTATAACAAGTACTATTTACTCGCTTTAATCTTGTGCAAGTTGGCTTTTTGATACTTCCTAAACTGCTCCAATAATCAAGTGTTCTCAAAGCTTGTTGTTTACTTGGGAAAATGAGTTATATGTTTGTTGTGTGTATTAAAAAAACAAGCAAACAAAAAAAACCTAAAAAGTGGAGACATCTTGCTTTTTATCAACGAGGTGGAAGCTTGTTCCATATTAGAGAACAAATTGTAGTAATTTGCAGAGTGTTTTAGTTCTCTACATATAGAAGAGATGGGTAGCAGAATCTGACTCACAGTCCATTATCACACTGGTGAAAATACTGTCCCTTGATGTTATCACTGAGGACATGTTTCATCTCAGAAAATAGTCTGAAAGGCAGGTTTTGCAGCTGGTGAATGCTGGGGGAATTCTTCCATGACCGTAGAAATGAGTGATTTCTGTAGTGACATGCAGACCAGAGAGAGCTGTACAGCCCACGAGAAAAATATTGATGGGAAATTGTAAAGCAAGAAAGTTTCTGATATAGAGTCAGCATTTAAGGATCTGTGTGGAAGTTTGTGTTTAGATGTCGTAGTTTCCAGTCTTTGGATGGACAGAAACGTGTTAACTCTTACGTAAATAACACTTGTGTTTTCATTTGAAATTCTTTTCTTAATTTCATTTTATTCTGATCTCATTTGTTATGGATTTTTATGATGATAAATATGACCATACTAGTCATCATATTTTATTTATCATCTGGTATTTATTGCATATATATATATATATTAGGGACTTGAGAATACACACATTCCACTGAGTATATATGACTGATTTTTGTATAGCCAATTACTTGCAGACTCTAGCAACAAAACAGTTGTTTGTTTGTTTGTTTTGTAGCTTAAGGTTTTTCCTTAAATGTTCTCATAGATTTTGGTAGGGTTTGGGGGCTGTTTTTTTTTTTTAGTCTAATATTATGTGACTAATACAGTTTATAAGCTCAAGTTGATCAGGAGGGCTTGCAGCATGTCTTGAAGAGAAAAACATCTAAAATATGGTTAATAACAGAGGCAGTTATATGTATTTTTAGGTCCCACCCAGACAGGTTTGGTTATGTTTTCTTGTAAGTTTGGGCAAGCAGCAGTTCCATAGAGTTCCATAACTCTTAAATATCATATAATTGAGTGAAGGAGCTGGCAGTTCATTCGCAAATGGCAGCATTGCCTTGTGCACCACACTGTTAGATTGCAAATGCTGCCTGCCTTTATTATCGTTTCTGATTGGCGAAGTATTACCTTTGTACTGATGTTGAGGAAATACTTCTTGTTTGGGTGTTGTTGTTTTAAAATATAACTACAAACCAGCACTAAACTGGCAGTCATTTTGGAAACACAAAAACTGAGGTAAATATTAATTTGAGTTGACTTTAATTGACTTGCCTTAGTTTTTGGGCAAAGCCAGTTCTCTAGCTTTAATAAAAACAATGCAAATTGCTTAAATACAGAAACATTGTGAAACTTAACTTGGAGAGCTTATTTTAAACGATTGACTATCTTCTAACATAAGCAGTGCCGTACAGTTTTAATTCAGTTGGTTTCAGCTCTGTAATATCAGAATCAAAAAATATTTGCCTATTTCTGTTGATTTCCCTACTGGAAAGAATGATCTCATTTCTTAGACAAAAATGAGCTCTTGATTGTCTGGGGTGAAGTCTGATATACTGAACTGTGTATGCAGAAAGAAAAAGCAATGTATTTAAAGTGTAATAAATCATACTGCTTTTAAAGTAATACAATTATGGCACTTTTCCCAAGGCAACAGAGAGTTTAAGCACACTTACAGTCTGAGTGGGTAAAATTTAAATTTTCTTGCTCACCAATACTTAGTGGGATATCTGCAAAAGTGCAGGAGGAGCCTTATATCTAAGCAGTTAACTTAGGTCAATGACTGTAAATAAATTAAGACATCTTAAAAAATCAACAGTACTAACTTTCAGAATTTAATTACCTGCTTTTAAATCCTCATCAGGCTGTATTTCACGTTTACCAGTGAAACCATGTTTGTCATTAAAAGATCTGTGGTTATCTACTGCATCTGACAAATAAATTAGAAATCAGAGGAGTTAATTGACTTGGCAGCAACCTTTACCTCTCATGGATTTTAATGAAAAGATCACAATGAACACTTTTGTTAGATGCTTATGTACAAAAAAAAAAAAATAATGTCACTAAAATAACCTTTCTTCCACATTTGTGGTTATGATTTTTATCATTTTCAGACTCTGTCCTGCATTACATGTACATACTTGTCAAACCTGTTACTGAATTCAATGGAAGGTCTAAGTAAAACATAAGTTTGTACATTTGGGTGTAATCTGGAAGGCTGTTTTTGCTATCCTTTCTCCTGCCGTTAGAAAGTGTTGCCGAGGTGTTTACGTAAAGAACAAGCTGCAGGTAGATTTTTGAAGATTAATCATGTAAACTATCTTACATGCCCCTGGTGCCTCTTCTCTCCCCCTTGCAATGGGCATTTCCTTTATCATTAAAAGGTGATCAATACGACCTGCAACAAAGGATGATTCCTATTACCCCGTCTTAGATAAATGGCATTTGAAAAGCACAATTCCATATTTGTCAATTGGGTTAGATCTGCTGTGGAGCATAAATTTACAATGCCAATTAACACACTTAAGATGCGTTAATCAGTTTTGTGTATCCTTTTATGTGGTCTGTATATGGAGAGTTACAGTAGGTGCTGCAGCATCGGTCATGTGTCACTGAGACTGAGAATATACAAACATTGGTAAAAAGTGTAATTACATTAACCAGAAATAATGATGAAAGACAGATATTTGAGAGAGCTTAGCGCTGTATTTCCATTTTGCTTATAATGTACATGCATTTTCTTACAAATGCACACACAGCATCTATTTTCTTATAATCCAATGATCTTTCATCATTGTGAACCAGTATGTGTGGCTGTATTTTGAATAGTATGTACCTGGTGTCACACAATGAAGTGTTACGGTTACAGCCATGACTTTGCACTTTGTAATTGTTTTAATTTGTTTGGATTATTTTTTTTTTTAAATAGTAGTGTATTAAAGCCATTTTCAAACAGATTTTAACTGAAATCTGAAATAAGTTGAGTAATGCCAGAATTTCACATTCTGTCGCTCTTCCTCTGACATCTGGGATGCTATGATGTCTTGTAACACTTCCAGGAAAAAGGGGAAAAAGGTAAAATGAAGTATTTGCCATATGGAAATTACAGATCAGTAGCACAAAGAGTGCCTTAGATGTGCATCTGTGTATAAAGTCTCACAGCATGACTCTTCTTCTGAAAACAATTGTTGCCTAAGGCAACTCAGCTCTGTAATAGGCACGTAATAAATATCTAAACAAGCATTCAGTCTTTGCAGGCTCAGTGTAGTTGTCAGAGAAGTGAGTAGCACACAACAAACAAAAAGTTTTACAAGAAGAAACTTCTGAGTTTTGAAATAGTACGAGAAAGAGCGCTTGACTTACGTGGCCCAAGTAGGTAACCAGCACTGTTCAAAGTCCAGCCCCTTTTTTCTTTTGCCTCAAAGAAAGAAAAATGCAAGTAGATTAGTGCTTGAGCTACGCTCTGAAGGCAAGAAGGCAAACAGCACCCAAATGGATGCTCGCTTACCAGAATTGTCTTCTGAAGGTTTGAAATACAAGAAATATGATGAAAAATAAATAATATAATAATATCAAAGCATTTACTACAGCTAGCTCCTGCCTCCTCTAGTGCTTTTGTTGTTGAAATCCATGTACTGCAAGTATTTCCCATCATATAATTGAAACTGCAAATCACAGTTTGGAGGTAACAATTTTGACTTTGCATTTTAAGTTTGCTTCCTGACAATCATTTAGCAAACAGCAAAATTTTGATTGCTTGAGTTTACGTGACAGTTTCTGTAAAAGGTCCGTATCTGACCTTTTCTGAGTCAGACAGGGATGGGTACCCATTGAATTTTGCTCTAGACCTTTGTTTCTTATTCTTTGTGACTTGGGAGCTATTATTCAAAAGCCTGGTATTTAAGTAATTAACAGCCCCAAATGTATGAGTGCTACGTCTTGTCTCACTGCTGTATCTCTAAACACAGGGTATATCATGAAAGAGCTCACTGTCGCTTGTCAGCTTTGACACGGATGCTGCCCAGTGGAAGGGACCCTCGTGGGAGATGAATACTTACAGACAAAACCAGTCCGAATGTTTCTGACAGGGCGGCACAAAGGATTAAAGACAGAAACAGGAAACCCGCACACCTCTGCATCTGAAAAGAAACCGCACCAGGGTAAGCTTCAAGTCGCTCGCTGCCTGACTTCTAGCTTGGATCCGCACAGCAGGTGAGCAAACTGGCCACTGATGAGGGGTGAGGATGAGCCTTCATCCCGTGGGGCCCACACCCCGATTCCCTCTGGGGAGCGGTGGGACAAGGCTGAGAGGTGGGAAGGGACTGAGTACCTTGAGCTGGGGCACAACGGTGTCTCACAGGGAGCTGGCAGGTGGCGAGATGGCTGTCCCACGGCTGCTGCTGGAATGTCCCACGGATGCTGGGATGTCCCACAGCTGCAGTCCCGATGGCTGCTCCCCGTGGGCACTCACTGCATGGCCCCGGTGCACGGACACGGCTCTGCACACCCTCCCTTCATCCCCTCCGCTCTTTATGGGCTGCGGAGCCCCCCCACTCTCCGCCTCCCGTGGGTCATTTTACCTCACCAACCCACTGCATTAGGAAGGGCAAAAATTATAGCAATTCAATTAGAGGCTTTTGGAAGCACGACGCAGGCTGCAGAGAGATAACTGTCCGGGCAATTAGCCATAATTAGGGTGGCCCTGGGCTAGCTGGCAGTGAGAGGAGCTCTGTCCTGGGCAGTCTGGCATGCGCTGCAGTGTGCTTATCAGTGGAGACCAAGCAGACGTAGCTGAATTCAGCTCGCTTTTCACTGAATCTGCTATGGAAGCAGAACTAAATACAAACAACTATGTGTGGTGCCCACCAGCAAGATTTGCAGTGTTTGGGCATTGCATTTGGGAAGGCAAAAGACTTTACACACTCCCCATCCCACGGTCCCTTAAAATGCCTTTGACTCGCATGCCTTTGCCCCAGCATCACAGCAAATAGAGCTAAAGATTCTCAGTCATTGTACTTTCTTGCTGCTTTGTACTTCTTTGCTAGTTTTGGAGTGGGTCAGAAATATGTTTGTTTGTTCATTGCCTAGGCTGCAATACAGCAATGTTTTGTATCTGAGATATCACTTTTTTCTTGTCCTTAAGGTCTTGCATGAAGGATGATAATGAAGCTCTCCCCAGTGACGAGGCATGCCTCAGCATTTTAATTATAGCCTGTGAGATTTCAGTTGTTTATCTTATTTGTGCTTATAGCCAGTGTATGTATGAGCAAAACCAAATTACGAGGCAAAGATCCCAACGTCATTTCCCAGTGTCAGGGAATATACCCTGCCAAGTCATATTTTTTCAGTGTAAGTCCCCTCAACTCTTCTTTCAGTATGAAGAGCCTAAGAGGTGTTGTACAGAATGTTATACTTCCAGCTCCTTTTTCTGAAGCTGCTTAATATTCTTTGCAAACTTTTACAGTGTGTGTGTGAACTTGGATATAGAGTAAAGGCTGCTAGCAGGTAATACAATATCCTATCTTCTACTAGTTTAGAAGCAAATAGCATTTTTTACTTAAAGTAATGTAATGTTCATATTACTGGCTAATGGCAGAAGCTGTGTCTTGTAGCTTTGTTTTCCAACTTCTTTTGTCAGAAGCCACAGCATTGCAATTATCTGATCATCACTGAATTCCAGATCTAAAACTGCTTGAATGAAGTTTATTTTATACAGTTGTTAAATGCTAGTGTACATAAATGGGAAGCAAGAAATTTGCTTTGTTGTTTTGTATTATTTGTTGAGGGTGTTCTGTCGGCTGTCACATTAGCCTTTTAATTCAGAATAGATAGATCTGGAAAACAGCACTGTATTTTTTTTGTGAAGAGTTGTTTTTCTTTATCAAAAATGTACTTCTGAATGAAATTTCTTAGCTTTCTTGACATCTCAGAAATCTTTGAAACTTGAAGCATCTCTGAGACACAAAATGTTTTCTTTGTGTTATTCGAGTGTAATTACAGAAATTATTAAAGCCAAGTCAGAATTTGCATTCAAGCAGTATTATAAAAATGTATAAATTCTGTTATCTTTGACTGTTTGTTTGTTCAAGATCCGGTGAAAAGTACTTGAAACAATGTGTGTTAACCTGTGTTTTTTATTCCAACTTTGCATCACAATTCTTGCATCTTGTCAAATTTCAGGGGCAAATGACCTCTTCATCTTCACTAGAGTCAGATGGAAAAGGAAGCCTCTTTGTTTACTCAAGCGTTTAATCCATCATTTGCCCATTATACATTTTGTGTCAATCTATCTTTAGGTTAGTGTCAATTAAATAATTTTATCAGTCATTGCTACAATTGATGTTCTCATTCCCACAATTTTCCCTGTTTTTTTTTTTCTTCTTTAAGAATTCTAAACCTCGCTGCTTAGAGAGAAGAATTAGAATCTAGCCTGAAGCCTGCCTTTTCTTGCTTAGCTTCCAAAATGGCCTTCTGCTCAACTACATGGTTTATTTTCCCATTGAGATGGCTCTTCAGCATGCAGATTCCTCCACTGATGTATTTGTTGGTTTCATTTTGTGAAGAAGTGTTAAATCCTAAGGTAGTATGTGTTGAATAGCAAGAATTTCTTCTAGATGCAATGGATGTGTTCAAGGAAAGACTGGATGTTGTGTTGAGGGACATGGTTTAGTGGGAGCTATTGGGAATAGGTGAACGGTTGGACTGGATGATCTTTTAGGTCTTTTCCAACCTTGGTGATTCTATGATACTATGATTCTATGTGGTAATATGATTTATTTTATTTTTCATTGGCAAAAACCATAAGCAGCTATGAATGAGTGTTTATATAATGTTTTGGAAAAACACTAAAAAAAAAGAGTGGATTTGAGGTATGTTTTGGCAGGAGCTGGAGATACAGTAGCTTCCTTCCCTGTAGAGCTTGCTGAGAGATAATAAGTGAAAAAGGAAGAAATCATTCTGCTGTTTCTTTATTGAAGCTGTACAGCCTGGATAGAGGATATAGTAAATAAAACACTAGAAGTATTCACAGAGTGATGCTCAGTTTCATGAAAAATGAGTTTTTCTTCCCAGGTGGTATCAAGTGTGACCACACTGTTAAAGATCATCTTCAGGTATGTATGCAAAATCTCTAATTTTATGTAAGCAATGAAAATGAATTCTAGACTTGAGAGATCAGTTACAAGACAAAATTGTTTCCCATATGGTGGTGTAATTCCAGCAAAACTTTGATGTTACAGAAAGAAAATGCTTTATTAGGGGGAGGCCATCATCCAACTAACAAGAATTGATTCTTTTAAGAGCTGTGGAGATGTCTGTCTGAGTCTATTTCAGTATGTACTAGTGGGCCACTGACTTGCAGTGCCACCAACAACTTGAGTTTTTGGATTTTTCTGCATTGGAAACTATTGTAGATTTTTAAGATTGGTGTTTTAACTCTGAATACAGAAGTGTACCATAGCTGAGTATGGAGGTCACAAGTGCAAGGCTTCATAGGACTAAATCTAATTCTGAGTGGGAAAGACATTTCTTTCCAGTCGAGTATAGACACTGACAGCTTTGGGTATCTAGGAGCAACGAAGAATTCCAGATGCCAACAAGACTGTGAACAGCTTCAGTGATCTAAAAATGTAATGATAGTTTGCTGGTAAATAAAGGCCGTGTCACAGAGCAGCAGTATTACCCCACTCTTTGATACCTTAGCTGCTTGTTATTAACCTAACAAGGCAGAAGCTGATGACATTGCATTTACCTGAAAGTCATGTAGATCACACATCTGTATCATTTTCAAGGTAGATTACTCTTTAAGTCTTTGAGAAACCTCTGGATTATTTTGCTCCTTTATATGTGTAGAATTTGCTGCTGCTTTAATGAATATGCAACTGAAAATATGGTGGGGGGTTTCTTTGTGGCTTTTTTTTTTCCCTTAGGAAAAAGGTAGTAATAAGTGAAAGGTCATTTTCTTCATCCTTCCAGAGCTTTTACTATTGTTTTTCTCCCACTTTTCCAATTTGTAATTCCTGAAAAATGTAGGCAATTTTCACTGAGAGTATCTTTTACCCATTTTACCACCTGCAGCTCAGTGTCAAATAGAACTAAATATTATAGATATCTTCTGTATGAAGGGCCATTTTCTCTTCTGAATTACACTGATATCAACTAATAATTTCCTGTTCTTACGTCAATCAGTGTGTTAATAGTGCTATTATTCACACTACATATATCAATACAACAAAATTATCACATATTGTATCTTTTAAAATGTTTTTTACTTCAGGATGCACATTGATTTTAGGCCACTTGTGTATTTAAGAAGCAAGCAATAGAATAAAAGGTTTGGAGGAATATTCTCAAAAAATATATATTGCATATTATTTTACATTATTACATTATTGCAATATTACATATTGCTATACACTCAATAATACTGTGTAAAATCTTGATTGATGATTCTTAAACTTAAAAGAGAATCAAATATTTGTCAGATTTTAGGACTTGCCAACAGCTTCAAACCATTCAAGGACAGGTTGCCAGTCAATGCAACTACATAAGCTTAATTTCCTAAAGATGGCAGACTGAAATAGAAGCTATCTCAATGAGAGTTTATCTAATAACCTGTGAAAAGCCCTGAGATTCTGAAATAGAAATTCTAAGAAAATACCATTTGTCAGGGTTTCTGGTTCTCTCAGTAGTGGATCAATACCTGTTGCACATCCTACTGTATTTTCTAGTCTCCTGCATCCCCAGATTACTGCTAGCTGGGCAAAGTGGCTGTATGTAGTAGAGCCTCTGCTCCACCACTGTCATTTATAGGGCCCCTCAAGGAAGGGAATGGTTTCAGATACACTCCCTCTCCGTTTGTAAAAAATAAAATCTTGCATACGTTGCAAGTAACATTAGTTCCTTATCTGACAACAGCATCATAACTGTCAGAATTTCTGCAGTGGCTTTGAAATCCCTTAAAATTTACAAAGAAAATTTTCCAGAAGTGGAAAGGATTTGGCACATTTGGTCTAACACAGGGAAATGTTAGCTGAACAGGGAGTGCTCCCACATCTTCTCAGTGGAAAAAGAAATAGGGAAACAATAATGCTCTGATTTCTTTCCTCTAAGTCTTTTCCCCGTCATACCTGAAAACCTTCAAAACACCAAACCAACCCCGAAGTTTCCCAAGCCAAAATCATTTCATTTCAGGCTTAAAACAATTCTCAGCGAGCCCACTTTCAAATGTAGCATTTCAGCTCTGATAGAAGTAACAAATCTTACGGTCTGTTGAGATACGTGGTTCAGAAGAGATCAGGCAAAGCTGAAATTTGCTTTAAAATGATCTTTGTTCTCATTTCTGACTCAGGAGGAGGCAAAACTTCTGTTATGTTTGTTAGGATATATGCTGAGATCCTGATGTGTGCTGAGCACTCATAACATTTCTGATTCTCAGTGGGAACACAAATGCTTAATAGCTTCCAAGATCCTAGCTTCCATCAAAACTTTTGACATATAGTTGGACATATTGGGCTTTTTTTTAAATCTGAAGATTGAATGTGGAGCAAGGGGGAGAAATGTCAGTATCTCTGTGCTGCATGTGCCATTTTCCATGGCTTTGCAGAATAAAAATGCCAATGATAGCACAGGATAGATTAAATAAGATACCCATGCAATGGTTTCCTATCACTGAAAATGAATGTTTATGAATTCAATAAGGGGGGGAAAAAAAAAAAAAAGCTGCTTACTTTCTGTTTGAGTACATGGCTTTTTGTCTTTTGTGGGCACAAATAATGCTTATTCTTTGCAGCGGCTACAGAGGGAGCCCGTGCTCTTAATTTAGATCACTGCTCAGCCAGCGTGAGGTATGCAGGGTTTATTTGCTTGGGAGACATTAACAGAAGACTGAAAGTTTGAGGCAAACCAAAACCACTAAGCAAAGGCTATTAAGGTGCAGACAGTCTGTTAAAATGGTGTATTAGAAAAAGGCACATGAACAAATTCCCCAACAAATCTCTTAAACAGCCCTAGCAAGACTGTAGAAAATTATGGTCCAGATCGGACTGAATTTTCCATCACACTAACTTAATTTGCTTAGCACTGCCTCCCACCCAAGTTTTCTTATTACAGGAAAAAATGCATTTGAGAGTCTGAGATAATCACGTTCCCCAAGAAAACTCTAGAGAATAAAGAAGTATAGGACATACAGAATAGGATTCAGCTTCTCAGCTTGAGGAACTTACTTATATATGAGTTAGATATCAAGCTCCTACGATAGGTGGAGAGGAAATCAATACTGTCAAGAGTGACACCACTTAAGCTAATATAACCATCTATTTGTGGTTGCAGTGACCCATTTGGCTAACTATCCATCAATTGCAATAAAATGCTTGACATGTAGCTCACCTTTAGGGGCCTAAATTAATGTCAGATAATTGCAGCCACAAATGATATTCCTCTAAACAATAAGAAAATTGATTATTATCCCTGTCTAATGGGAATAAGTAGGACTGAATTAATCTGCAAGAAAAAAATCTGCCGAGGGTGGCTATTAGGAAAGACTTAATAGCTATATGGTAGAAAAGGACTCTTTAAAAACCTAGTATTAGGGGATTTAAGTGGAGGCTTCTGTAGAGAACAGATTGAGGGAAGGTGTCATGTATAATGCAGGCCTACTTAATACTTCAGCAGTGAAGCATTTCAAATAGACAGCCTCTGCAGTCTGCCTGTATGCCTATCTGTGTGAACAAGACCTGTGCACAGCACATTTCCTACAAGTGTTTCCAGCCTATTTCTTCTACGACATGATCTGCATTTGTTACTGTTGTGATTGATCCCAGCACATGCAGCATCTTTACTTGCCAGCTTCCCTTACTTGCCTTCTTAATCTCCTTTACTCTTCTTTTGTCATTCTTTTGCACTGCTGTAGAACCACTTCCCCTTTTCATATTCTCTGTCCTTGCCTCGTTTTATCTGTACTTTCTTTAGTCTGCTTTCCTGAAGGAAAATAGTTTATCAGCAACATTTTGCTGTCGTCTTTTTTCGTTTTGCCTCAGAGCATTTTGGAAAATGGTAGAAATGAAGAAGGCTGCCAACCTTAAGTCATAATCTGTAACAGATCAGGTTTAATTAACTTAATACTTCCTAAACCATTGAATTTCTTTTGATTTTCATAGGTTGATACAGTAATTAAATTGGAAACAAACTGAAGAAGTTGTCTAGATCAGCTTCTGTAGGTAGCACATCCTCTGAGCTCTAACCTCAGAGCCTTACCTGAGTTCTGAGTGTTGCCAAAGGTGGAAAGTCCCCAGCCTTTATGGAACCCTGCTCCAGTGTTTGGCTGTGCTCAAGATAATTTTTTTTCCAATTTGCTTTTAGATTTATTAGAATTTTCTATGTTGCAGTATCCTATCACTGTATATGTCCT